ACCAGGCAACACACATGAAGACCCAGCCACCACATATACACAGGGTTCCTCGGTCCAGACCATGCCTGCTCCTTAATTGAGGTCTCAGTCTCTGTAAGCCCCCATGGGACTAGGGTAGTTGTCTCTGTTGGTCTTCTTGTGAGGTTCCTGTCCCTCCAGGTCCTTTCATCTTCCCACAACACTTCCACAGACCCCCGGAGTTCTGCCCCATGCTTGGCTGCAAGTCTCAGCATCTGTCTCAATTCACTGCTGGATGGAGCCTCCAAGATGATAGTCGTGTTAGGCTCCTGTCTGCAAGTGTAGAAGAATGTCAGGGGCTGGCTGTCTACTGTGGGGTGGGTCTCAGGTTGGCCCAATCATTGGTTGTACTTTCCCTCAATCTCTGTTCCCTCTTTATCCCTGCACTTCTAGTAGGCAGGGTAATTTTTGGATCAAAGGTTTTGTGGGTCCTGCCTGGCTAGGAGGTGGTCACTTCAGGCTCCATGACCCCCCCTCACCCACTTAGGAGTCTCAGCTAGAATCACACCCACATCCTCTCAGGCACCTACCCTGTTGATGGCCTCCAGCTTGAAAAGAGATGCCCTCCCAGTTTCCCTTCTTGTTCTCAGCCCTCTCACCTCCTTCCTCTGTCCTCCCCACATCTGATCCCCACCCTTTTTTACATCCCCATTTATCTCCTACCCAGTTCCCTCTCTTCATCCACTTCTGCTGTCTATTCTATTTCCCCATCTGAGTGACATTCTGGCATCCACCCTTGGACTCTCCCTGTTACTTAGCATCTTTGGGTCTGTGGATTGTAGCATGGCTACCCTGTACTATAGGTCTAATATTCGCGTATAAGTGAGCACATTCCATGTGTGTGTTTCTGGGTGTGGGTGACCTCACTCAGGATGAGCTTTTGTAGTTTCATCCATTTGTCTGCAAATTTCATGACTTCTCTGTTTTTAATAGCTGAGTAGTATTCCGTTGTGTAAATGTACCACAATTTCTGCATCCATTCTTTGGCTGAGGGACACCTAAATTGTTTCCAGATTCTGGTTATTACGAATAAAGCTGCTATGAACACAGTTGAGCAAATGTCCTTGTTGTATGGATTTGTCGGTGACGTTCTGTGCTGGATAAAGCGTCCACGGGGTCTGCAGTGTGGGTTGTTCCTAGGAAGCTTCTCGTATTAGATGGTTCATGGAAGCAAAAAGAAGGGTTAGCCCTGACCTCTGTGAAAAGACCAGTTGTAGAGGAGAGCCAGAAGGTCTGAGTGATGCCGTTACCATGTACAGGATAATAGCGCCGTTTGGAACAAGAAGAGGGAGAAGATGGAAATGCAGTACAGGTGGGTCTGAGGGCAGAGTGAGGGGCAGGGTCAGAGGAAGCAGCTGAGACTTGGCATGGTTATAGGGAAGACAAAAGATAAGGTCAGAGGCCTGGGAAAGGCGAGGCAGGGGCAGGAGCATGAAACAAGGGTCAGAGTATGGAGCTGGAAGTGGCCTCTAAGGGAGCAAGAAAGCTGGGGCATCAATGCCTGAGCTCAGTGGGATCACTGTAGATGATGAATTTTGTCCCCTCAGATGAGTGCCGTTTCTCCAACCAAGCTTCCTCCCCACATGTTCAGATGAACTTGGCAGATGCATATAATCTGATCGTTTGCCTGCAGGTTCAAGATTCTGAGGAACACAGATGTCTGACCCTGTGTCTAGTTCAGGGTGAGCCTGTTCTTGAAATGCTCATGTATAAAACCTGAGGAGGAGTTGTAGATAAAGTTCCCATGGACCTTCTCCCATCTCCAGGCTATGCTCATCTGATCCTCTGCCAACTCCCAGAGGAAGTAGAAGGAGAATGGGATCTCGATGGAGCTGCCCTGGACACCAGAGAGACGTGCTGGCTGGTTCACCCCATAGGTATTGTCTCTGTTGGATCCTGCTGAGTTCCCTGGGAAGGATGGGGAATCTGAGGTCAAGCAGGGGATGGAAAGGACCACCCAGAGCCTCCTGAGCCTTCATCACAGGCAGGTGTGGGACACAGGGCAGGACTGTCCCCAGGGCTGGTGGGACAGGACAGACAGGGGAGGGTTGGTCAGGCTCACTCTGAGGGATGAGCTGTCTCTTGGGCAGAGAGGCCTGGCTGCTCCTCTAGCAGACTCCTGTCCACATGACAGCCCACTCCAACCAGCCCTGTGTCCCCTCCTGTGGTTCAGTCCCTGCTAGTGAGGTCCCCACACTCACCAGCTTGCAGACATGCTGATAGCAGCAGAAGCAGGAGCTAAGCCATGTCCAGAGTCCCTCCAGGAAATGAGAGCAGCAGAGACAGCAGCAAGAGAGGAGGCTCTGTGAAGGGACACTGGGGTGCTCAGAAAAGGTTCAGGGTAAAGCGACCTAATGCCCAGAGCCTCCTAAGGATCCCCGTTGCCTGTGGCCAGCACCTTACCTATCAATTGGATCCCTCTCTTCCTACATCGCAGACCTGCCCCTGTGGTAACAGACAAGAAAGATGCACCTATCTCTTAGCCCTGCCCCCTCCTTGTGATGGGAGACATCGTGCTGACCTTGGCTGGCTGGTCCTCCCCTCTCTCACTTTGATCTTCTGCCTTGTCTAGTCCTTCCTGTGCCCTGTGCTGTCCCTGCAGTCCCCCAGAGGGAGGTTGTGGCTTAACAGCTCTCTTTCCAGCCAGCCCTGTCTCGTGAGCAAGTTAATTTATTTCACAGATGCTGAATCTGTTTGAGAATGGAGCCACAGAATCCTCTGAGCCACTGACTCCTGTTCTACAGAGGTCGGCTGAACCTCGGTTTGGGAACCCTTGGTCCCCTTCACCATAACTTTTCGAAGGGACCTAATGTCCTGTGCTTTGGGGGACGTGACCACAGTCAGTCTATGGTTAGAGTGACCCCCCATGTGGCTCTGGAAACTCTCAGGTGACAGGAAGGAGGAGAGGGGTCCCACTGCTTCAGTCGGATCTCCCGCCCCGCCCTGACCAGGGCCTTTTCTCTGGTTCTGCTGCCAGGCTCTCGGCTCTGATTTGGCTTACATAGCTCGTTGGCTTTGTTGTCAGTCTTCTGGCCACTTCCTGTGCATGGTGGCCCCAAGAGGCTGCAGTGGAGGCCCTGAGAACAATGCCCTAGGCAACGGTTTGAGGTCTCAAAGCTAACTGCTGACTTGAGGTCGCACAACCCCTTCAGTGTCATAGTCCTTGTAGGCTAGTCGCTGGTGGAGGGCTTTAGACCGAGGAAGCCAATTCAGAGTGTGGCACAGGCTTCTCAGGATGTGGCAGTTAATGAATCTAGACTGCCAGGAGAGCCATGCCGGGGTACAGACACCCAGAGCTAGGTGCGAGCTGCAAGGGGATGGGCAGCAGGAATAGGGAAGGTGAGAGAGACTGGGCACACTCTCAAGGGAGTGAGGCTGAGGGCGGCAGAGGCTGGGCTGAGGAAGACAGGCTTGCGCTGACTGGAGACAGGAGTCTGTGGAGGATTCTTGAGGGCACAGACTCTGCTCTACCCAGGGGTGAGTAGCTGGGAAAAGGAACAGCTGGTGGCAGCCCCAGGATGGTGCCTGGGCATGGTCCAGGTTATCCACGCCAGCAGAGGGCAGGGCTATGAACGCCGGTCACCCTGCCCCCACTCACAGCTGCTTTGGGGAGATCCCCTTGCGGGTGGTCTCTGGGCTTCTGGTGCCATGGCCCTGTGGGGACCCTCCGATCCCTTAGCAGTGGGGTCAGTTGCCACCTGGTAGAGACAAGAGGCAACACAGGTTCCAGGGGCACACGCAGAAGGCAGGCTTCTCGCGCCAGGAATGCTCACGCTCGGGGTCCCCCAAAGGCCCTCCTGCGTCTCTGCCCCAGCAAGCCCCTCTGTGCCCCCCCGGCTCTGTTCACCGGTGATGAAGAGTGATGCAGCACTGGCTCGCTGTCCCAGCTCGCTGTCCCGGCTCGCAGTCCTCGAGTGCCTCAGGCTCCCTCACCCACGTCATGTGCACCCCAGGAAGGGCAGCCTCTTACGTGGTCAGGCTGTGGTTTGCCACCCTGGAGGGACCCAGGAGTCCACACCTGGGGGCTCTCTCTCTCCTCATCTCCCTGCCTATGCAGGCCCAGCGTGTTTCATGTGAAGGAGCCCGCCTCTTGCATAGAACAATTTGAGGTGGATGAAACCATGTGCAATCCACGTGTCTGCAAGGCCTCTCGCCCACCTCTGACTGGCCACTGGGGAGCCTGGTTCCCTGGTCATGAAAGGAGAGCTGAGGGGCAGCTGTGAGGACCAGAAGAGGGCTCTCTGTCTCCCCTCCCCCTCTGCTTCTGAAGAGGGTTCCGAAGCCCCACCCCAGCTACGCAGGGGTCCTGTCATGAGGGGGCCGGGTCAGACAACAGGGGCTGAAGCCTCAGGAGACCCCGCTCCTTGTTCCCTCGCAAGGCCCACAGGTTCAGGACGCTCCTCGCCAGCCTGGGTCTCATACCCCCAGGTCTTCTGGCCCTAACCTGGTTCCTTCCTCCCAAGGCACTGACTCTGCCTTTGGCCTTCCTAAGGAAGCGAAGGCTAAAGCTCCAAACAGAAGGGTCACTTTAATGACATTATTAAAGGCATTATTAAAGACATCATCTGCCTTTAATGTGTGAAAGACAGGATATAGCTGGGCCTCTGTCACAGCCCCTCCACTCACACCTAGTCCATTCAAGCACGTACACTAACCACACCCTAGCTAGCACGGTTTGATGACACTTTTCAGAGGCCTAAAAAGAAAACAAGATTCGTGGAGAGGCCTGGTGCCCAGGATGGAGACAGCAGCACCTGATGTCCCAAGGCCTGTAGAGGGCCGTGGGTGCCTGTCATAGAACTCCCAAGCATCGTTCTGGGATTCTGTGCTCCAGACAGTCAGAGGATGTCGGGAATGGAACGGTGTGGGCAAGTTTCTCTCATGCCCAGGCATACAGTCTGTTCTCAGTGGAGATGAAGCTGCCACCGCGTGCAGAGGCCAAGCGGGAAAGCTGAGGAGATAGGCACCCGGCTTGGTGTGGGTCACCCGTGGGGCGTGGGGCGCACGGGGCAGGCGCTGGTCACCCGCTGGTCACACCCAGCTGCTGCGCAGGGTGGCAGGGGTGGGGCGGGGGCATGGGGCAGGGCTTGGAGAGTGGCCAGGCCCAGGAACACTCTTGTGGGCTGCTGGAGATGAGGAGCGTCAGGGAGAACTCCAACTTCCCGCCCGGCTGTGGAGCCCTGCTCCAGCTACTGCCTTTCAAGCCTCACCTGAGCCTGCGTCTGTGCCTGGGTGCTGGTGAGGGATGGCTGAGCTCTACTGAAACACCTGTGGGACACAAGAGTCAGGGCAGAAGGCAGCTAACCAAGCGGTGCGGGCATATTCCCGAAGCCGTTCTCACCAGCGCCTCTGCCGACGGCACAGGAGACACAGTACGAGGATAAAGCCAAACAGAAGGAACCCCAAGGTTCCCAAGATCCCGGCCACGGCTGCTTGAAGGACGGGGGCTGGAGCTGGGGCAGAGGGTCCAAGACACAGAATGGTATCAGATGGGCAGCCGTTGGCCAGGTCCGCCCTGTCTCCCTTCTCGCCGAAGACATACCTGACTCTGAGCTGTGCAGGTCCCCACAGGCAATCCTGACACCGTGAGGGAAAGTTACAAACTCGCAGCAGAAAGTAGTGTTGTCCAGGGATTGTTCCGATTGCTCCAGGGTCACAGTGAGAGCGATGCTGTCTGAGGTTTCCCAGCGGGCCTGGCTGGCGGGGGCCCACTCCTGGCTGCCATGCTCTGGGTGTAACACGGCTAGTTTGGTCCCTCGGGCATCGACAAACCCCACCCGACTCACCGTGACCAGGGAGATGGGGCTAGATGCGGAGACCCCACAGCGAACTAAGAAGGATGGGAGCTCCGAGGAGCCCCTCTGCACTTGCACCCACACCTCAGGGCTCCCTGAGGAATGGAGACAGGAGTGAAGGTCAGAGGCTGTGTCTCCACACGGTCCGCACCTCATCGGCTCTGTATTTCTCTGACCGCCCTACTCACCTGTAGAAACACAGAGGGTCAGCAGGGGTGAGAAGAGGACCAGGGCCTCAGCCTGGGCCATGTTTGCTTCAGCCACAGCCTGTGAGCTCCTGTTCTCAGGGTGGAAGGTTTTAGAGCAGTTAGAGCCACAAGGCGCCTCCCACAACCTTATTTCTTTTCTGCAGGCCCTAGCGGTGTTGAACTCAGAGTGATGGGTTCCCACCCCTTAAAGTCTCAGTACCAGGATTTGCCTGCCACTTGCTGGACCTGCAGCAGTGGGGGAGGCCACAGGGCTTGCTGAAGGCAGTTTGCCTCAGAGAGAGGAGGTGAGTGGCTGCTCCTGAGGAACTTAGCCCGGCTGGTCCTGCCAGCCAAGGGCAGGGGATGGAGCAACTGAAAGTGCAGGATCCTGCACTCAGGAAGGCCGCCAGGGGGGCATCCAGGGGCCAGCCTGAGGGACCAGCATGTCCCAAGGTGTGTCATCAGCATTCATTCTAGTAGTCCCTAGTTGAGTTTGCAGCCACCGTCCCCCCGCCCCCGGCCCGCCCCAGCTCCCGTCCCACGGCCCCCAGGAAACCCAGGCAGACTCCACCTGCCCCGTGCTCTGCTCTGCTTGTTGACACCCGAGGCCTTTTGTTCATCCCTTCCGTCCTGCTGCCTCCCATTCTGACACTGACCTCTCCCTGCCACCCTCACCGCCATCCACCCACTTATACCCTGCCGGGAAGAACCATCAAGCTGGCTTGCTGCTTACCTCACATCAGCCTTGTCTTCACTGCGGCAGCCTAGGTGACCCCACCACACAGGCCACTCCTTTGCGTGCCTGTCCCTACTTCCCTCAGAGCCAAAGCCTTGAATCTCTCTGTGACCTGTCCAGCCTCCCTTCTTACTTCTCCCCACCTGCTCTGCTCACGTTTGGGAGGTCCCAAACGTGGGTTGGCCCTTGCCCGTGAATTTTGTCAAGGAGGCAGTAAGCAGCGCCACCAAACTGGCTCTTCTTTCTACAAGCTTCAGATCACTGTCCTACGCGAGGCCATTTACCCAGCGCCAAAACTGACCAGACGCTGTGGCACTTGGGGTGACACATGATCCTGTGGAGGGATCAGAACGTGTGCCGAGAACCTGAATCCTAGGTCTGCACCAGAACCCAGGCTAATCTGAGGACTGTTCTGCCTCTCCAGACATATAAACTAACCCTCACAGGGCCTACCAGTGTGGCCTGCAGGCCTTTGCCCCCACAGTGCCCAGCCTAGCCAGCATTCTCTTAATCCTTTGATCTTCTCTGAGGCCCATGTCTCTGACAGAGACCTGCTTTCGCCAGTTAATGCGACAAAGCTGACTGACCTTAGCGAGGCCAGGCTGCGTAGGCCGAAGATAGGACCTTTTGAAGTCACCAAGCTGTGCCTTCCGTTGATCTTCTGCAAGACTGATTAACTGACTGGAACGCCTTTAATCCCAGTACCTAGGAGACAAAGGCAGGCAGATCTCTGTGAGTTAGAGGCCAGACTGGTCTACAGAGTGAGTTCCATGACAGCTAAGGCTACACAGAGAAACCCTGTCTCAAAAAGAAAAAAGAAAAAAAAAATGCCTCAAAATCTGTTATCCCCACCTGCCCAGGGACAGATAACTTCCTGGAAGTCTGGAATGTTTTAAGTCCAGAGCTAAGCTACCTTGGGCCATCTTTAGCCACCTTAGCCCTCTTGCACACTTGACCTTAGATGACCACTAGGTCAATTATTTGGAGTGAGCAAACATACTGCCAGCTTGCCAACCAACCAAAAAGCTGAAAACATTGTCACATCGTCCTTCAGGCCTAGTAACAGAGCTTTCTCCCTTTGCCTACCTCTGCTGCTCACCAAGTGTTTATACCAATGTATTTTTGAAGTATCTTGAGTTGACTTTCTTTGCTCTGTTACTGTAAAGATTTCATGAACCTGCTTCCATGTTGGAACATGGAATTTGGAGCAACTTCTACCTGCGTTTCTAAGCCACGACCATTTATCTTTGGCTCCAGAATAAACCGCCGCCGCATCTCTGAGGTGAGAGCTGTGTCTCTCTTCTTTTCTGTCAGCAATCCCGGGGCAGCTGACTTCAGTCACCTTGGAGTGGAAGACGCCATCTCCCTCCTGCTGAGATTCTGCTGTTTCACAAGCTCCTCCCCCTCCAGGTTCTCTGCTGCTGTGGAGGACAGGCTGACTCCAAGTCCTGAAGGGGAGCCCTCAGTGCTTGGTCAGTACTGTTTGCCAATGTATAGAACTCAGCTGAGAACTCAGCTGAAGAGTCTAGAGAGGGGCTTCATGTGTAAAAGAGCTTGAAGCAGGAGGGCCTTCATTTGAATCCCCAGAACCCTTGCGAACCTCACAGGTGGTGGCTGCTGTGTGCGACTCCTTTATTCCTGTGGAGAGATGAAGGTGGAAATAAGAGACTCCCTAGAGGCTTGCAGGCCAGCTAGCTTGGAGCTTAGGGTGGACAGAGGTATGTCCTTTGATGTGCAGATGGGCCTGAGGGCTGATTGTAGGCCCGGTTGGCTCTCTGCACTAGTTGTGTTAGGAGATAGAGCATTTCCCTTCCCGCAGTCTCTGACGCTCTGGCTACACCCTGCTCAGCCTTGAGCCATGTTAGAGGCGGAGCTCCTACAGCGAATCCCACTTAATTCATCACCGCATCAATCCATCACCCCCGTCTTCCCTGCGCCAAGAACGAGTAACTGCTGTAGCCTGCCAAGAAGCAATGTGTGGCTGGAGGACTGAGTCTCTTGACTCAGGGATCCTCAGCTGGGTGTGGCTTGTACCCTCGTGAAGGCTGGTGGCCAGTCCTTTGTAGGACATCTTCCTTGAAGCTTCTCTCTCCAGGACTGGGACAGGGGTTTGTTTTGTTGTTGTTGTTCATTTGTGTGTGTGCCTGTGTGTGCATGCATGCATGCGTGTGTCTGTGTGTGGTTTGTGAGCAAGACATGACAGCACAGAGCATCAAGATCTCTCCTGTACCTTCTGTGCAGATGGGATGGGTATCAGTCAACCTCCCCCGTTGAGGCGTGGAAGTCTTCGTACAGTTACTTCTTCTACCAGAAGCCCTGACCTCCACACCCCTGCCTCCAGTGGAAGTAACCAGCTCTCCACTGCTGCCCTAGCTCTGTCCACTGGCCTGACCTTGTTCTGTCCACTGGCCTGACCTTGTTCTGTCCACTGCTGCCCTAGCTCTGTCCACCGGCCTGACCTTGTTCTGTCCACTGGCCTGGCCTTGTTCTGTCCACTGACTTGGCCTTGTTCTGTCCACTGGCCTGGCCTTCTGTCTGCTGGCTTGCAGAAAGAAAACCAGGCAATGATCCTAACAAGACTCAGTTTCTAAGGTCCAAACACAGGGCTCTGCATGGCCCCGTCCATTAAAATCCAGAATATCGGGGCTCCGCTGGTGAAGGCACTGGCACCGAGGCTAATGGTGGGTTCAGTCACATGGCAGAAGGAGAGAAAGAACTCTGCAGACTGTCCTCTGAGTTCCGTGCTGTTCCTGAGGATGTGCAGGAAAGCAAGCGCTGCGGTGCCCTCCTTTAAGGAAGGAGAAGACGTGAGGGCTAAAGCTATGCTTTAAGCTTAAATTACTGTGTTTAACAGAGCTATAAAGCAAGCCGGGTGGTGGCGGCACACGCCTTTAATCCCAATGCTCAGGAGACAGAGGCAAGCAGGTCTCTGTGAGTTAGAGGCCAGCCTGGTCTGCAGAGTGAGTTCTATGACAGCTAAGGCTACACAGAGAAACCCTGTCTCTAAAACAAAAACAAAACAAAAAATTGCCGCAAATCTGTTATCCCCACCTGCCTAGGGACAGGCTTCCTGGAAAGCTGGAATCTGGTGTTTATGTTAACATAACAAACCTGGTGTTTTCACTTTTGTAAACAAGCTTTACAAAGGCACAGGATGCGCTCAATCACGCGCAGAGAAGAGATGCGCGGCAGGGCGTATGCTTTCCCCAAACTGGACGACAGCAGGAAGTGTGTAGCTTCGTGGGTTTTCCTTTTATAAGCATCTGACTAACACAATTTGTGGCCATTCTCTGGGAATCCTGGGTGTGGACCTGGCCGCCGTCCATTGTGCTGGCCAGTGTTTAATAAAGCTTACTTCAAATTTGGCTCAAAACTTGTGGCAGTTATTCTCACCTGGTGAGATTAACAAAGAGAGAGAAAATGTCTAGAGGCATCTGGAAGAGTCCGGAGCAGAGAGAGAAGAGTAGATGGGACAAAGCCAGGGCTACAGAATCGGGAGAACAATGGGAGATGGAAGGAGAGGACAGCAAGAGAAGAAGGGGGAGGTGTGAAGAAATTGGGGATCTGAGGGGAGGAGGAGAGGAGGGCCGGGAGGCCGGTGCAGGGAGGCCGGTGTGGGGAGGCTGGTGGGAGGTCTTTAAGTGTGCAACAGGTGCTTGTGAATAGGAACTGAGGGGTCCTGGAGGCCAGCGGGGCTGTGGCATGCAGCGGCAGGCGCCTGCCAAGAAAGAGCCACTTGGCAGGTGCCTGCCAAGAAAGAGCAAAAGAGTTCCTTCCTTTGCTTGCCAGAGGCCAGGCTCTCCTTTCGGTGAACCTGTGAGCATGAGCCCATTTCACAAGTCCCGGCTTCTATTTAGTGCAGCCTGAGAGCAGCTCTGGGTACTCGGACGTCCCAAGACCTAACAGACGCATGCGTAGCTGCATGTGTTCGTGGCTGAATGTGTGCGCCCGAAGATACTGAACAAACAGACAAATAATTGTGCGTTAAGATTTCAACTATCCATTCACTGTATACATTCCAGGATTTTGCTCCTGTGCCAATCTCGTGTACCCCAAGCTAGTCCTGAGCCACACAGCTGGGGCTGCCCCTGGCTTGCTGACCCTCTGCCTCCATCCACCCTGTGCTAGGATTCTCAGCTGGTGCCACCACATCAGCTTTTCTGGTACCGGGCTGCGACCCGGGGATTCCTGCACACCTGGCACAAGCTCTCTGAACTGGGTTACAGTGCCCACTCCAGGGTGGTTTTGAGGTAATAACCAATTCTGTGTGTGTGCTTGTGCGTGCGTGCCGTGCGTGTATGTATGTGTGTGTGGTGTAGGTGCCT